CTGTGGTTAATAGATATGTTAGCACTGGCAAGGAATGGTATTGCTTTGTAACTGTGTTTTCACTATATTTGTGTATTGATTTGCCTTACCTGATATGCGGGTATTGTGTGCCAAGACTCTAGTAAGTAACATTTGAATTTATCAAAGAAGAAACTGAGGCAGTGTGTGCACCCTGAGTCTTGAACAATAATCGGTGTACAGACATCGGTAAAGAATGCACTACTGTATCAGGGTACTTTTGAAGAACATCTTAATTTGGAAGTAAAATATGGAAGTATTTATGTAAAAGGAAGTTTATTCCTTCCAGGGAATGACAAAGCCCACCCCCGGAAAGAAATCCAGGATTTTGCTTCTCCTTGTTTTGCCAAAGACACCCGCAACCTTGACTTGTAAGATATTGGAGTGCCAGGGGTGGACAGTGGGGGAGCTGTGAGAGGCCTGATTCTTGTTGTGGCAGTGCAGTCTCAGCCCCTTCCCTGCCACCACCCCCTGCCAGATGCACATGCACCTGCCATGGGCAATGAGCCGGGCTGGGGCTCTGTGAGGCTCTGTGTACCCCCGTGCAGCTCCATGCTACATGGTGTGAGCAGCCTGGGCTTCCATAGCAGGCAGGAGGTTGCAAGCAACTGTATCCCCAACCCAGCTTGTTGCCAGCACCAGGTTTATGCACACCTGGGGGGGAGACCGGGGGAAGGGAGGAGTTGTAAGGTGTCGGATACTTATTGTGGCAATGCAGCCCTGGCCCCTTCCCCATCCCCCAAAGGCATGCATACACTCACCGCCTGCAGTGAGCTAGGCTGGGGCTCCATAGACCTGGAGGCACGCATGCCAAACATAATGCCTTCACATGCCACATTCTGGCATGCATGCCAAGGATTGCCAGCCCCTGAGCTCAGGTTCATTGTTGCTGACAGCTTTTCTTCCAGTTGTATCTGGAGCTGGATTTAGAGCAGACAGACTTCTAAACAGAAACCCCATATGTACTCTTTGTTGAAAAACACTTAATTGAGCAGTTCATATTTAGTATCTCCATGCTGGCTGGCAAAAAAGGAGCTAATTTTCAGTAATTGTGTCCAATGATGACAGGATAAAAACTAAGCATCACTTTCTTGTTCCTATGTTGGCATTGTCTGCAGAAAAGTGAATGATCATTTCAGCTGTGGATACTGAATTTCCCTCTGCCCATTAGGGGATGGGAGTAAGGCAACAGTTCTTGTGGAACAGGATTTGGGCAAAGTGCAGACATAGCAAGACTCCTGTGTTCCAGCAGGTCCCACAACTACTATAACATATACATATGTCTCTGTGTGTCTGCATCATTTAGTGATCATGTGTGTGCAGTTATAGACAGCTCTGGAACTAGGATCTACTTGTTGCTAGATTCTGGTGGTTCAGATGCTATCTTCCTTTGATCTGTGTATTTTCTTAAGGTGATAAAGTGAAATAAGAATGAGCAAAGGAAGGCATAAATCAGTTCCACATTCATGGGAAAATGAAATTACTCAATGCTGGGTGTTATGTGGTTACAAGAACGCTATTAAACAATAAATAGCCTTTCCTCTTTGACATTGCTCTTTTTCCAAATGAGGTTGTTCAGCTGTGTTGCTGCTCTTATTTTTGAAGAGTGCAGGTTCTTTGAGAATATTTAATAGTATATCTGTTTTGGGTAATGTTGTGAGAGGCTTGCACTTGTGTGTTTTTAAGTACTTTGGGCCTTTTCAGAACGTTCTTCCCATTTAATCATTAGCGTTATGCACTTTCCTTGTTCTAGTTTGTCAGCTCTACACAGTCGTATTTTCAATTCTGTTGTTAGACTTTTCCAGAATAGGTGTAATCTGTTTCTAATTTGAGACCAAGTCTGTTTTTCAAATAGGAGCTGTTTTCATGACAGACTCTATCACTATCAGCTGCCATCTCTTCACACTCTACAGCTATGAACTCTTTCTGAGTGCTTGACAACTCCTGCCTAAAAGCAAGGTGGCTTTCTTTTTCTTTAATTGTCTACTCATTATATTAAAAAATATTAAACACAGCCAAGAAATACCCATGGGGCTTTAGCCACTTGACAGTGTGGACATGGCAGAGACCCCAGTTTCAAGAGCCCCAAATACCCGAGTCCCAGCTTGTTCAGAAAATGTTTCCCCATGGCTAATTAGCTGTACAGCTCCCTGTACCTCAGTGCCTCTTCACTTGAAGCTCACTTCATCTTCCCATTGAGTACCCCTCCCTTCCGCAGTCCTTTTCTCCTGTCAGTTACCTCCACTTTTTCTTTAGAGTCCCCCCCTCCATTTCTCTGATGTATTCCCTTCCAATAACTTCCCCTTTTCTCCCCCGAAGTACTGTGGAACCAACATGACACTTGGGAATGAAGTAGCACATTCTTACGCTTGTGTTATCCTTCTGTTCCAGCTTTTCTGTGTAGATTATGAATCCTTAATGAAGGGGGACAAGTTCTCAATCCTAGTATATTGTTCATAATGAAGCATGATACAAGACTTACAAAAATTCATGGTTTAATATTTGTAGAAATGTGCTTTGCTTTCCTGCCTGTTTATATTATCTGGTATGCCTTTGTTGTATTTCAATTCTTCAACAACAAACTGAATTTAACATGCTTCTGGTTCAAAAGAATCATACTTTTTTGTACTAAGTAATATATTTAAAACTGGAGAATCATATGGGAAGCCTTTATCCAGAAATATTTATTGCACTGCATAAGTTTAGAAAAGCCCTGGAAGGAGAAGGCTAGCACATTATGAAGTTCCACTTGTTAAGTCTACAGTACAGGAATGTAGGTAAGAGTGTTTTAAAGACTTTTTAGCTTATTCGTTTTTCCTCAGTTGCCATCTCCGAATTCAGCAGCAATGATCTGAAAAGACAATTGAGCCATCTCATCATCCCATAACTCAAGTTGTGAGGTCCCACAGGGGGTCTCTTAGCTCAGAATTCCCACAGGAGGGACCCACAGCAGGAATCAAGTTACAGGACAACTGAGCCATCTCATTATCCCATAACTTGATTCTTCCTATGGGACCATAGCATAGTATGCTAGTGGGGGTAGCACATACAATTACTATGCACCAACTTAAATCTAGAAGAGAATAAACTAAACACATTTTGATATTATTTTCTGATATTACATTTGTTGTTTGATATTTTATTTATTCTGTATTAATGTGCTTGCACAAACTTCCAGCTGTTTGGTTCATTATTACATAACATTCTGCAATAAGGTACTTCGTTTCACTACATGTTAAGGTATTGGCAGTGTCTTAATGTAAATTTCCATTAGGGAGCAAGAAGCTGATTCTGTGTCTGTGTTCATGGTTTTTAGGCTGGATTTTTTTGCTACTTTAAACAGACTTTGCACATGGTGAATAAAAAATGTTTGTAGAGTATGTCCTATATACAGTCAGTCTTTCTGGAGGAGTCTGGAATGAGTCAGCTGCTGGCTACACTTACTGCAGCAGGTGTTTGGAGGAACAAAGGAGTCACCATCCGGGTTGTACAGATTTAATTGTGTATATTAGTTCTCTAAAAACACCTGTCTTGCAGATTGAATATGGTGGAGAATTTAGGTGGCTGCCATTAGCAGTGTGAATAGCGTGACAGGTACACCACTGCTTATTTTTTTCACAGTATTTCCTAAACTAATGATTTCCTGTGTAAACTTACAGCTATACAGGCAAAAATCCCTGCTCTAGGCTGAACAGCCAGAGATCTTGAAGGCACAATCCAAAAGGGATGAAATAAGATTAACTTAGTTTGTGAGGATTTCTGCCTGAATTGAACTGACTTCTGGCATGTGCAGATTCCATCAAAATTTGCTGAATAATGGTGGGCTTCCCGTTACTGGAGCAAGAAAACCCAGAGCTCTTAGTTTGTTCAAATGCCCCAAAGTCGAAGGATTTCAACAGACTGCTGCTGTGCTTAGTCTGTAGTGATTTTGAGAAAGGTGCTGTAATGCTTCAGTGAGAAGAACTGTTTTGTAACAGAGCTTTGTTTTTGCGGCTTGGCCGTTTTGTCAAGTAAAATGCTTGGTTTGTGAAAAATGTTTTGGGAGCTCCCAAGGGTCTCTCTCTCTTTCTCCACCCCTTGCCATTAAATTCTGCGCTGGTACTCCGTGTCTCCCCCGCTAGTGGAGGGAGAGATGACTGTAAGGCGGTGACTAGCTCGGGGAAGAGGCGCGGTCGGAGCCAAGGTGCGGGCGCGCGGAGGAGGGGAGTGCGGCTGCGAGCAGGAGGCGCTGGCGCGGCCCCCGCCCGGCAGCCCCGCCCCCAGCGCCC